AGGGGGAGAGAGAGACAGAGAGAGAGAGAGAGAGAGAGAGAGAGAGAGAGAGAGAGAGAGCCTTCAACCGCTCCATCTTGCCCCATTGTCTTCGTCCTCCTCCTCCCCATCGTCCTCTTCGTCCTCCTCCTCATCCCCACTTTTGTCTTGCTTCAGCATCTCACCCACCTCGTCATTTTTGTCCTTTTCCTCCTCCCCGTCATTATCTCCCTCCTCTATATTCTCCTTCTCCCCTCGTCATCTTCATCCTCCTTCTCCCCCGCTGTGTTGTCTTCCTTCGTTTTTGTTGTCGTCGTTTTATTACCTTCCATGCGGCATCACAAAACGGACATGTGTCATCCTCCTGCTACTCCCCGTCGTCTCCCTCCTCCATCTTGTCCACCTCCCCGTCGGCATCTTCCTCCTACTCGTCCCCCTTGTCGTTTTCATCCAGCATCTCCTCCACCTGCACGCCCTCTTTCTCCCCCTCCTCCCCCCCGTCGTTGTCTTTCTCCATCGTCTCCTTTAGCTCCCCGTCATCTTCATCGCCATACTCCTCCCCGTCATCCTATCCCTCCTCCACACTCTCCTCCACCTTCCCGTTGCTATCTTCCTCCTTTTTTATTTCCTTTTTTTTTTTTTTTTTGCCACGTAGCATTACAAAACGAGGATGTGTAATCCTTCTGCTCTTCCCCGTCGTCTTACTCCTCTCTAAGTTGAAATGGAGCTGGTTTTTCTTGAGGATACTGAGAACCTCATGAAGATGTTTTATGTGCTCAGTCATCAATTTATTGAAGATAGAATGTCATTTAGGTAGACAAGAACAATTCGATTGATCTGATCATGGAACACCTTCAAGTTGTGCATGAGACTTTGAACGGTGACCGATGCATTTGTAAGACCGAAAGGCCTAACGTTAAATTTGAATAGCCCGTTGCAAGTATTGCATGCAGTCTTGTGCTGGTCCGTAGAATTGATGTCAATCTGATGGTAACCAGACTTGAGATCGATCTTGGAGAAGACCTTGCACCCACCTGCAATATCCAACAAGTCATTGATGTGTGACAATGGTTATGCATTATTTATTGTGATTCTGTTCAAGCCACGATAATGAATATACATTGTGAGTTTGCCTTTTTTCTTTGGGACAAACAAAACTGGTGCATCGAATTCAAATTCGCTAGGCGTAATCTACCCTTTGTCAATCATTTCATCGATTTATCCTTGGAGTTCCTCCAACTCGCCGGGTCCCATTTTGTACACACATCCCTTTAGAGGAACAACACCTTTTATCAACTCGATGTTGTGTTGGACCGGATGTACGCGAACTCTAGGTGGTTCGACCAAGACTTCAGGGAACCAGTTGAGAAGGTTTTGAATGTTTGCTAGGATTTCCGAGAGCTGGGAATCAGAATATGATGCAAGCGAATCAAGATGCAAATTGGCAGCCGAGACAACATGATTTGAAGTGAAATCATATGGTATAAAAGTAGAAATAAACGTAGAAGTAGGGGAACCAAAGTAGTTGCAACATGCAAAGCAGAACTGGTACTAACTATAAAAGTAGAAGGCATATGGGAAGGTCGCACAAAGCCATGTGCATATGTGTTTATTTTCCCTACACGTGCGGCATTTCTTACATAATTGCATTGCATTAAGAAAAGTCACTGACGATTCGTGACATTTTGACGTGATGCTTGTTCCACCTAGTATCTAAAACCACGAATATGATTCCTTTCACCGAGTCCTCTTGCATTGGGACTGCAGCCTGCCCAATCCAACAACATAAAAATTTCTATGAAAGTTGAAAAAACTTTCTAAAAACAAAAAATCCTTCATATTTATAAATTATTATTTCAATGTTCGTCCAATTCTTCCCTTATTCCCAAACCTACCTTATGTAACACGTGTGAGAACATAAAGTTAGTAGTAGCACCACAATCAACCAAGATACAGAGGTAGCGGCGGTTAATGAGAAGCTTAAAGAAAATTAACTTTGTTGCCCCTTAGATACACCACTGTTTCTTAACGACTCAATGCTCTAGGTGATTTTGAAAGTTAACCTTCTCAGACTCCTCCCAAGGCTCGACATAAACAGCATGACATGCATCAACATTTAAAATCGGTAGATGGTGGGGCTTCAAAATAGGACTGCTGAATTGAATCAGGTTCCTTAGAGGAGCTACCACTTACCGATTCAGTCTCCTTTGTTGTGAAGTGTGCTGACGACATCTCTACGCTTGGTTTTTATTTCCCTACAACCTATAAAAATCTTAGACTTTATGATTCAGTTTCTGGCAATGCAAACAAACTTTCCTCCTGCGTAGCACGGCGAACGTGTTCGCACCCCTCCATGTTCGCGCGAACAGGTCGTGAACATGTTCGTGCGAACAGGTCGCGAACATATTTTTTTTTCGTAGAAAAAAAATAAAAATAAAAATTATTTTTCGGTTTTTTATTTTTAACTCATGATTGACTGAGAATTTGAACATGGCTCCAAGGCAAAAGTTGCTTGTTTTATCATTTTTTATAACATATATTGTTTTTAGAATTTTTTGAGAACTTTTTTTTTTTTTTTTAATATTTTTTATGTTCGCGTTCGGAGGGTTTTTTACGCTTGTTCGCGTTCGGGCGAACATGTTCGCGTTCTCCTCCGAACGCGAACACGGTGATACGTAGCTTCCCTCTTAGTCCTAGTCTTCCATTTATTTTCACTGATCCAGAGTTTCAACCATGGTTTGGTTGCAGCATCCTCCGGTTTGACAAGAATTTTGGTTCCCTTGGAAAGTGGAACAATCTTCTTCCCTGAGTTTGGGTTAGGCCTTTTGTATTGACAGACTTTTTGAAGGCATTAATTTTTTCCTCTTCCTCATTAATCTCAAACTCTTGGGATGAAGAGGAACATGTATCAACGTCCCATTTTTGTCGTCACAAAAAATGGGGTCCTCTGCATATGCCTCCTCTTCAACATCCAATAGGTCAAGCGCATTGAGGTTATTGCTGCCTCGGAACCGCCCGCCGCTTGTAACATTTTTAACACCTGTTGTAGAGATGACCTCAAGACTGGTGATATCCTGAATAGGCAAAACCAGTCCGTATACTCAAAGATGTCTTTGCCCAGGTAATGTATGTAAGCATTACGAACCACCCCTTTACCACATCTAAGCACCACCCCTTTACCACATCTAAGCATGATTGATCAGTCATTTCCAAACTAGGAGTAGCAAACATCTTGTTGAGATCGGATTAGAGGTTACACATGGGGTCCGTCCACTTGGCGCGCTTGACATTGTCAAACTTGTTTCTTACCATTACAGCATCATGTGAATCCTTATACTGTTTAATCAAAATTTCTTTGAGTGTGGCAACCGACGTGGCTTTAAGCCACTGCACAAAATTAATCTTTATAACCCTAACTCGTACAACTTGGATTTCCAAGAAACCTCGTACGACGGATTCGACGTTGGTCCCGTTGATTAAGGATTGAGTCCCCAACCGAGTTCCCAACATATCGAAGTAAGC